AGGCTAAAGTCCTCGCCTTGGACACTCGGGATCTCATATGGGCGCCAGTTCTAATCCCAGCAGCTCCACTTCCCATCCAGCTCCCTGCTTGTGGCCTGGGAAAGCATGGAGGACGGCCCAAAGCCTTGGGACCCTGCAGCCCACTTGGGAGACCCAAAAGAAGATCCAGAATCCTGGCGTCAGATTGGCTCAGCTCTAATTGTTACAGCCACTTGCGGAGTGAACCAGAAGAAGAAAAATCTTTCTCTCCATGTCTCCTTCTCTCGATAAATCTGCCTTTCCAATCAAAATAAATCAATCTTTTTTTAAAAAAAGCAGCAGCAGAACTGATCCAAGAGCTTACTGAGGTTCAGTTGCAATGTCAGTTGGGAAGCATACTAAAGATGTGGACACTATCCTTCAAGATGTGTGCTTCTCTCGGAACTAGAGAATGATATATTCTTTTTCCCTAACCAGAATATGTGGATCAAATCAAATGCTGGAAAAAGAAGTGGCTTCTCCTTCGCTATTCACTACTATTCTCTAAAAAAAAAAAGTTTGTTTTCTTTCTTTTTCTGACTGCCATTGGTTTAGAGGTTTCAGTTGCCAAAGGGATAATACTGTCCACAGTTAATTGGAAGATGAGATTTCTCTGGTCGAGCTTTTCTTCTCATGCTATGGAATGGAATGCAATGGAATAAAAGGTCAACCTGGAACTTGCTAGGATTTTTCGTTTCTCACCCACATCTAGGTCTTGAATGTGTACCTGTACACCTGTGTTGCTCCACCTCGAATCGTTTCACTTGTGAGTCTCCTTGTGATTTAAATTTAAGTCCAGCGATCTAGCTAGGCAGTCCCCTAAAAATCCTCGCCTGGGGTGAACTCAGACTTGACTTTTGTGTGCATCAGCTAGTGCAGGATCAGGTTTGATCCTTTATATGCACCAGCCAACACACATAGTGGTGGAAGCAGCTGCCTGGTCTGTTCCATCCCTAGCCCCATTTCTCACGCGAACTGATGGGTGCTGTGGCCTAGTCCAGCCTGCCACAGACCCGGTCTTCACGTACACCAGCGGGTGCTGCAGCCTAGTTGGGCAATCTCCAATAATGCCCACCAGGCCTGCCACCATTCCCAGTTTTGTGTGGGCTGGCATGTACTGCAGTCTAGCACAGTCCATCACATATCCTATCCATCTCCAGGTGCTTACACAGTGACAAGAAGGAGTGGTCTATTTTCTCTCCCTTCCCACTTACCACCCTCGCCACAGACACAGGAGGGAAAACTGAATCATTTATTTTACCCTCCATCCACCCCAACCCCAACCCTCTCCGTCCTAATCAGAAGTCCACATGAGTCTGCAAACTCCTTGCCATTGTAACAAATATCAAACTAAAAAATCAAATTGTAAATTTAAAAAAATTTAATTACTCATTTTTATATTTTTGAAAGGCAGAGTAACAGAGAGACCTTCCATCCAATGATTCACTCCCCAAATACAACTGCTAGCGTGAACCAGCAGCCCAAGTCTCCCATAGGGATGGGAGAGATTGAGAACTTGGGCCATCACTTGCTCTCTCCCAGGGGCGACATTAGCAGGGAGCTAGATCAGAAGCAGAAGCAAGACTTGGTCTCAGACACCCAAATATAGGATGTGGGTATTTTAGTGGTTTAACCCACTATGTCTGTGTCCGCATGCTACTTTTTGAATACTTCAATGTCCTGCATGACGTCCTAAAATTTAGATGCAAAAACTAATGAGTTAAATTTCTCCCTTATTTGCTGCTCTGGAGATTTTCCTATACTCAGGAGGAATGCAGCATAGCAAGCTTAGGATGTATAAACAATAGAATTTTCTTCTGAGGAAGATGAGCATCTGTGGATAGAGGCTAGCAAAGGAGAATCTGCAAAGCTCTACCTCCAGCACTTCAGTTTGAGGAGGAAGTACATGCACAAATTGAGAAAGTTAGAAACCTGTTGTGTAAAAGCTGCTGTTACCAGCAAGCCTGAAACATGACGGAAGGTCTGTGAAACTCAAGAGGTGTGAATGCCTCTTTTGGAAAGCCACTAGGTTAGAGAACATTCTTTAACACTATTTAATTATTTGAAAAGCAGACTGACAGAGAGAAGGAGAAGGCAGAGATCTATTCTCTGGTTAATTCGCCAACACCCAGGGCTGGATCAGGCTAAAGCCAGGAGCCTGGATGCCCATCCAGGTCTCCCACTCAGGTGAGTGTCCCAAGCACTTGAGTTATCTTCCACTACTTTCCCAGATATGGTAGTAGGGAGCCAGATCCTTTTTTTTTTTTAAAGATTTATTTTATTTTATTGCAAAGACAGATATACAGAGAGGAGGAGAGACAGGAAGATCTTCCGTCCGATGATTAACTCCCCAAGTGACAATGGCCACTGCTGTGCTGATCTGAACACGGGAGCCAAGAACTTCCTCTAGGTCTCCCACATGGGTACAGGGTTCCAACGTTTTAGGCCATCCTCAACTGCTTTCCCAGGCCACAAGCAGGGAGCAAGAAGGGATGCCAGCACCATAGATGACAGCTTAATACATCATATAACACCAGCCCCTGAAGAATACATGGAATGTCAGATCAACAGGATTGTGTCTGGTGAACTAAAGCAAATGTACTTAAGTAGCACTTTAGGTGTAGGATTTTACCATGAAAAAATACAAATTCAGGTCATTTGTGGAACTTGGCCAAAAGCAAGCAGACACATTCCTTTCCATAGTCCTTGTTTTAACCTGAGATACAATAATACTAGAAAATGAATTGTGATTTCACCATATGCAATGGTGGTCTTAAATCTCTCTCAGACCTCCCAATCCCAATCTGCAATCCAGCCTTGCTTTGCATAAACTGAGATCCAATACTAGTGATACCCTGGCCAAGACTGATCTTTTTTAAAATAACCTTTTAAAAAATCTTATATGTGTGACACAACTTATTTGAGTGGCAGAAAGAGACACACACACACAGAGAGCTGCCACTGCTAATTTAAACCCCAAAATGCCATCAGCTAGAAGTGGGCCAAGTGAAGTTGGGGATTGGGAAATCAATGTGAGTTTCCTATGGAAGCACAGAAAATCGATTAGCTAAGCCATCACCTCCACCTCCTAAAGTCTGCATTAGCAGGGAGATGGGATGAGGAGCGAGGGCCAAGTTTTGAACTGAGGCCTGCTGACTAAGGGACACTGGTACCTTCATCATTAAGCTAATGTCCAGTCTCAAGTTTAAGCTTTAACACCGCTGCTATGTTCCATCAATCATAGCAAGGATAAATCTATCTAAAGAACTCAAATGTAATACAAAGTCCTCCAACAACATGAAAAGTTAGTTTCACTCTAAAACACATGTTTGGCACATGGTGTTTAATAAGCTGCTTGAGACACATCCTGTGATGCCAGAGTCCCAGTATCCTGCTATGGCAACAGGCAATGGCTCTAGCCCTTGGTTTCCTGACACCAACTTGGCCTAACCAGTTCTAGACTCCTGGCTTCAGTAGATTAATAGCCAAGGCTGTTGCAAGCCATAGGGGACCATGGGGGAATGAACCACAGAATGGAAGGTCTTCGCTTCTGCCTTTAAATTTTTTAAATAAGTAAAATTTAGATATAACCCTACTGTTAAAGAAATTGACAACTAACAACTTAGCTACTTTGTAAAAATGTAAGAAGCAATACTAGCATCATTGCCATAGCTAAAGCAAATTGACCCCAAGGACATGTAAATCACTGACCAAGTTAGAAATGATTATTAACCATACTACTCTGTAACAACCAATTTAGGACTTTATGAATGTATGTACTACCCTCTGGATATACACATTGGATTTTTAAAGATCAATTTATTGTTTTAATAAATTCCTCAATAGATTTTCCTTTCTGTCTCTCCTATTTGACTTTCCAATAAATAAATAAATCTTTAAAAAAATAAATTCCTCACTATACAATATAGAATATTAAGTTGACTCACCATAATTGTCTCATCTGAGTCACAATCTCAATGAATAAGGTAATCTAAATGTAAAAGCACATTCCATTCTAAAGACACTCATTTTTAAGAGTAAAAGCCAAACAAAACTTACCTGAGGCGAAATTTGGCCAAATACACCAGTGTGACAATTTTGCAGCTCAATTGTTCAGCTTCCAGCAAATATTTACCAAGTATTCAATGGGTAGAAAGTACACATAATTAGAATGAGACAATGCTGATTGTTATCACTGACAAAGTAATTCGGCTTGCACAAGATGTTCTCATTATACTTTACATTAGCTTTCAGCAAAGAGACTAAAACTACATACAATAGTCTTTCCTTAGGCAGGGGCTGAGTACTTGGCAAACCAGATTCAGATGCCACTCGGGCAACGTCAGCACTGTGCTGCAGTGTGTTAAGTGGCTCCCTGTGAAACTAGCATCCCCTATAAGCACCAAGTCAAGTTCTGGCTGCTCCACTTCCCACTCAGCTCTTTTTCTGGACCTGGGAAAGATGGCAGAAGACGGCTCACGTGTTTGGGTCCCTGCCACCCATGTAGAAGACCTGGATAAAGTTCCTGGCTCCTGGCTTGGCCCAGAGCAGGCCATTAAAGCCATCTAGGAAGGGAACAAGCAGATGCAAGATCTGGCTCCCCTCTCTAACACATTCAAATAAAATCTTTAAAAAATAAAAATTAAAAAAAAAAAATAGATGGTACTCAGGATACCTGCATCTCCTGACTGCCTGGATTAAAGCAACAGTTTAGCTCCTCTTCTAATTCCAAATTTCTGCTAATGCACATCTGGGAGGCAACATATGATGGCTTGAGTATTTGGGTCCCTGCTACCCACATGCAAGACCTAGATTGGCTACTGGGCTCTGGCTTTGAACTGGCTGTTGACAAGCATTTACAGAGTAAAGTAGATAGAATAGTGTCTCTAAAAAATACGGAAACAAATTAATAAATGTTTAAAAGACCTTAAGTGGATGCATGAATCCTTGGATACTATAATAAAACTTAATTTATAAATTAGGTACAGGTGCTAGTTAGTAACAAGTACTAACAAAAAATAGAATATTCTATCAATAGCCACCTGCTAAATTAGGACATTTCAGTCAACAACAACTCACATACACCAGAGTGGTCTCATAAGATTACAGTAGAGGTGAAATATTCCCAAATTCCTAGAAATATTACTCTCATATTTGTGGTGAGTTGGTATATACACATTCGTTCCACTAGTACATAGCTTATACTGTTATGTATAATGAATAAATCTTCAATGAAAACAATTGACTATGTTTCTGGTGTATGTGTGTATGGTTTCTGGCAGCGGCCCCAAACATCATTTTGACTGTATCAAAAGGCCAGAGTTTGGCATACCCCATCTACTTTGTGTAAGTATGCTCTGCTGTTTGCACAATGACCACATCCTCTCACAACACATTTCTCTGAATGTACAGCATACTCTAAACTTAATCTCCATATGGTCTCTCTCAAAATTTTTTCATTTTGTAATACTCACCCTTCTTCTTGCAATGATGTGAAATGGTACATTTCATGTTGCAGCTTCTCTTTAGCTCATCTATTACTCTGGTGCTTTGGGACTATTATTAAGTAAAACAAGTTACTTGAATACAGGTACTGCAGCACGACAACGGTGCATCTGATAACCTAAGTCAGCTACTGACTCATGAGTGAGTGTTGGTGTATACACAGAGTACGAAGGGATGACTCACACCCTGCAGCAGACTTCATTGCAAGACTTAAAATGGCTTGCAGTGTAAACTAAGGAATTACTTATGTCTTGAATTTTCCATTTCATGTGTTTATATGATGGTTTCCATTAAAATCACAGCAGAGAAAAAATTAGTAATAGGATGACTACTATATACAAATTACAGATCCTGACTTCATTACATAAAAAATTTTACTTCAGATATAAATAACATTTTACTTCAATACTTGAACAATGAAATCAGCTATTATACAAATTCCACGAACTCTTTTACTCAAAATAAGATCAATTTTTTGAGTATTTTCAGCAAATTAAAACACAATACATTCATCTTCTAACTTGCCCTTTAATAATTTATATCTCATTCATTATTTTGTAGTACTGATTTTTTTTAAATGATTTAGTGTAAGACATCATTGAAGTGTCATTTATGAAACAAATAACCTATAGATGTGGATTCTTCAAACCAATTCCTTGGCATTCAATAATGTAAGTGTCTTTAGAGGCATCATCTTCATCTTCTGATTTCTTCACAGTGAATTTAGCCTGAAAGCAGAATATTTAATGTGTAAGAGTGATAAGGAGGGAAGAGCACATAATTCCAACTTACCTATTTTACAAAAAAGGTAGAGATGCAAAGATCAAATGATTCATGAGTTCAATCGCACAGAGACTGAACTACGGTCCTTGTTCAAAGATATACACATTTGCAGAGTTCAGTCAGAGTACATAGAATTGGGTCCCACTGCACAGTAATTGAATCAGAACCTCCAGAAAACAGCTGTGACAAATATCTATTTTAAAATTTCAATTTTGATTATAATGTATCATCACTCCCTAGTCCTTAAAGTTTCCCTAAAACATGAAGTGAAATATCGATACTTTTAGTCAAGTATCATATCACTCTTTAATCATCCTACAATGTCCTAGCCAGCTTAAATCCCTAAGGATATTATTCAAAAACATCTAGTTCAGAGAAGCTGGGTTGGGAAGAGCGATGGTAGTGGTGATTAACAGCTTCCCTCATCCTCATTGTAGATTTCATTTGTTGACTGAAGTCAGCTTTAAAACATTTGACCTCCTCCACTGTGTTTTGGGAAATGATTATTTTTTAAAGCTGAAGTGGTTAATGTAAACAGAACTGAAATTCAAACAAATGAGCAGGCTGGCTGAATCTATGGCAGTTTTTTAAGTTCGCCTAAATTTAAGGATTCTTTGAAATGTAATTTGAAAATCATTTTCCTGGTTGAACAGTATATGTCTAGAAATTCTTTTCAATTTCAGTATTCTATGGCAGTATTTTGACACACAATGGACATTTGCAATTATTACTTAAGGAATAAACACTGAATCTTGAGCTAGTTAACTAACATTTTAATGTAGCTAAATTTTTCAAATTATATGCATGATGAAAATAAGGAACAAAAGTAACTACTATAGGAACTATTTTTAGATTATATTTAAGCTTATTTATAACTCAAAATGTAGAGTTGCAGGAAGTTATTAAGGGGATATGTGATCTTTCTCTGTCCTTCCTTCCCTATCATTCTGATTTTCAAATAAAAATATGAATCTTTCAAAAAAACTTAAGAATCCTGCAGTAAAGATATAAGTTTTTATGAATAGAATAGAATCTTTTTTACTTATAATCATAAATCTACTTAAGAGGTCGGAAAATGTCAGAATTTCAGCAAATATTCTGTTTGAACAACAGAAATTATACGAAAGTAAGACCTTTAAACATTAACATATTTAAGTTTATAGCCAATGAGGATTCTCTTGAGTTTATTTCATTGTTCTAATCAAAACATCTTTATTACTCCATAAGACAGTAAAATACAGTGATGAATTTAGGCTCTTACGTTTGCTTTCAGGGTATGTTCAAATCCCAGCTCTACTACTAAGAAACTACGTGGCTGGGGGCAGACATGTATCGCAGTTGCTGAGATGCTGTTTTGTGGCTTAAGTCATGTATCTGAGTGCCTAGGTCCAAGTCCTGATTCTGTTTCCAGCGTCCTGCTAAGGCACACCAGGGGAGGCCGCAGGTAATGGTTCCTGTACTTAGGCCCTTGCCACAATGTGGGAGATTAGATTGAGTTTTAGACTTTCGGCTTCAGCCTGGACAGTGATTAGGGGAGTGAACCAGTGAATGGAAGATCTCTGGCCTTTCCTTTTTGCCTTTCTAACAAATAAATATATTTTTTAAAGAAATGCTATAACCTTAACAACCTGATCGACTTTACTCATCATCTTTAAGATAGAATAAATAGCCACCCTCAATGGTTATACAGAGTATGAAAATTAAAAAAAAAAAAAACAGGAATTAGCTCAGTGTCTTACAGGAAGTACTCTGTGGCAGTAGCAATTCTGATTATTATTATTGAGTTTTCTGTTTTTAAAATGTGACCCAAACTGGCCACAATAAAGCTTATTTTTAAGACAGAATACTCACCTTTGCTAGTTGTTCAGCAAAATGTATAGCTGTTTGTGTATGGAGTGTAACTGGTCCTGTTTTTATTCTAGAAACGCCACTGGCTAATGCCATGAAAACAATCAGCTATTGAAAAAAGAACAGGCAAGAAACATCTCACACATTTGCTAATATCTGGAGTTACAATTCCATTGTTGTTCACAATGAAAACAGCAGAAATCAAAATAGCTAAAGAAGAATTTGTTTCCCCCAAGTCTCTAGAAGTCATTCGAAAATTATTACAGACAAATAAAAACAAACCAAAAAGCTTGCTTTTCCCAAGTCTGTGGTGTGGTTCAGAAATACTTAGCAACAACTTTCAACATAGGATCTTTTCAATGTTTAAAAATAGATTATGAAATTGAAAGAATAGAAAAGATCACTCACCAAGCTGGCAAGTGAAAGTTTCAATTATGCTCTAAAACAGTGATTAGAAAGTTTTTTTCCATCTCGAGCTACTATGACATTTATAACACCATTAATGGGTCAGACAGAAGGATTAATTTGAAAGTTTGCTCTCTACAGACTTATTGATTTTGAGCACAACCTGTAGAAACCTTGGCAGGGTTAGGTAAAACAATTTCACAGGCCTTACACAGCCTGTGGGCTGGATGCTCCCCATCCCCATCTACAGCTACATTAAAATAAGTGAATACATAGAATATTTCTGGCTAAGAAGGAAGAGACTAAAAATGACAGAAACTATCCTAAGAAAATGGTTAAAAGGATCTGTATTGTGGCGTAGCAGGTGAAGCCATGGCCTGTGATGCCAGCATACCATTTGGGTGTAGTTTGTGTCCTGGCGGCTCCATTTCCCATCCGGCTCCTTGCTAATGACTTGGGAAAGCAGCAGCAGACAGCACAAGTGTATGGGTCCCTGCCACCCACCTGGGAGACCCAGGTGGAGCCCCTGGCTCCTGGCTTTGGCTTGTGTTGGTCCTAGCCGTTGCAGCCATTTGGAGAGTGAAGCAGTGGATGGGAAGCCTCTGTTTCTCCCTCTCTCTGTAACTCTAATGTTCAATTAAATAAATAAATGTTTTAAAAAATTAGTGGGCCATAAAAATTTAGATCTTATTTGGAGATATTCAATAGCACTTCTCAGTGTGAGTCAATGTGTTCAGCTGGAGAGGTCAATGAAACATCCAAGAGATGTTGACAGACGAAGGGGTATATGAGCAAGGACTTCGACAGGAGGTCAGAGATAGTAACACAAATTTGGGAGTCATCAGCACATAGACAAGGATTTAAGCCATGAGACTGAATGAAAAAAATGGAGAAATATAGATCAATAGGCATGGATCTGAGCTTAGGAGCTCTTCAAAAGTTAGAAACTAAAGAGAAAATAACAATAAACTAGCAAAGGAGACTAGAAGATATGGCAAATAAACCAGGAAGATGGCAATATTTCAGAAACTGAGCAAAGAGAAGCAATAGAGGCTGTTACTGGGATACAATTCCGTAAGCTTCTGTGTGTGATACTGGCATCCCAATGTCCCATTTCCAATCCAGCTACCTGCTAATGAGCCTGGGAAGGCAGAATATGGAAATTTTCCCAGTGGGAAATTTGGATGGAGTCCTTGCTCCTAGTTTTGGCCTGGCCCAGCCCTGGCTAGACATTGCAGTCACTTGGGAGTAAACCAGAGGATAGAAGAATGATTGTGTGTGTGTGTGTGTGTGTGTGTGTGTGTGTGTGTGTGTTTGTGTTATCTGTCTCTCTATCTCTGCCTGTAATTCTTTCAAATGGATAAATTTTTACATATATATGTAAAATATACACATAAATACTAAATACATATGTATATAAAATAAAGTCCAAAAGAACATTAAAAAAATGTAAAGTAGGGGCTGGTGAGTGGTATAGCAAACTAATCCTTGGCCTGTGGGAAGAGCATTCAATATGGGCACTAGTTTAAGTCCCAGCTGCTCTACTTCTGACCCAGCTCCCTACTTGTGGCTTGGCAAAGCAGTCAAGGATGGCCCAGGGCCTTGGGAACCTGTACCTATGTGGGAGACCTGGAAGAAGCTTCTGGGTTTGGATTAGCTCAGCTCCAGTTGTGGCCAACTGAGGAATGAACCAGTGGATAGAAGATCTTTCTCTCTGTATCTCCTCCTGTCTATAAAATCTGACTTTCCAATACAAATAGGTATATCTTTAAAATACATATAAAAATTTTTTAATGAAAATTTAAAAATCTTTTAAAATATGTAAAGTTGGATTTGGCAATCAGTATCTGAAAGTTAGTAACTAAAATTTATATTAGTCTAGTTTAAAATATTCAAATCTGATAGATTAGAGCATTATTTATTAAAAACACGTCATACCTGGTCTTGCAGATACTCATCCACAGTACCACCATGTCGAAGATTTGCTAATAGCATTTCAGCAGCATCAATTCCAACCTTATCTGCATTTACACCTAAGGTAGGACAGTGTAAAAAAACATCACATTAGTAAGAGGCAAAAGTTTTAATGTATTCCGGTTTGCATAGGTATAATAAATTTTTAGGCTCTAAACTCACTCAATATGCCTTCTGGAAAAGATTTTTAGTTATTCTGAGAGCTCTGAATATGCAAATACTTTGTACCTTTATTTGTACTTGAAGAAAAAAAGATTGCTTAAAAACTAAAAATTTAGCTAATTTATAACCATGACCCTATAATACAGTGACTCAATGTAAAATTTTAAAGCTTGCAATTTACATATACAATTAGTCTGCAAGTAATTCCATCAGAACTTAAGAATTTCTTAAAAGACAGAGAATTTTTGGGCTAAAAAACGAAACAAAACAAAACAAATAACATCTTCAGATTAAATAGTTTTAAAATCTTGGCTTCAAGATGTGAACAGGTGTTACCTTGCTTGAAGTTGGAACACTTACCCTGTTACCCTAACATCTACCTCTGCACACATATGCCAAATCTCTAGTTTGACATTAAATAGGAAATATTTACCATCAGAAACACTGAAATGTCAAATTAGTCTTATAAGATATTTATTTTAGCTTTCCTTTTTTTAGTTGCAGTTATTTATGGAGTACCGTACTGGTAGTTAATACATGTATACAAAGTGTAATGATCAAACTAAACTAATTGGAATTTCTGTCTGCTTAAGGTACCATTTCTTGATCTTGGAAACCTTCAAACTCCTTTCCTCTAGGTCTTTAAAAAAGACCTGTTCTTGTAAACTGTTCTGTATTGTACAATACCATTACTTAAATCAAACTAACTTTATTTTGGTACAAGGTATTTACTTTAAAAGAAATTCTTAGTTACAAATGAAAATGAAATTTTTAAAAAATGAGAATGTGGTTAATCTATTTTATATTTACAAATTTAGTTGAGAAACCTTGAGAAAATGTGGCCAAACAGTGGAATCCTTACATTTTAACTTGGTTATTTCTGACAGAAACTACTAAAATAATATACCAAACTTAATCTCTGGGCGTAGAAGTATTTACATAACTGAATTAAACAGTTTGAAGCATGTGCTATGAATGAAGATTTCTTGTATAAGCTAGTCTCTGCCATTTAATCTGCTACATGGGGGATAGAGGAAAAAAAATAACTATGCTTTCAAGTTATGTAGCTAGAAACTACATAATATGTATAAAGTGGCTATGATCAAGATCACGGCATAAGAGTACTGAGCACCCAGTATACACTGCATGTGTGGCATGCTAGATAATTCTTTTGTTAAGGAGATAATTAAAAAAATGCTCATATATTACAGCAGCAAAGATTAATTAGATGCTAAGTTCTATGCTACAAAACAACAAAACTGAAAGGAGTTCAGAAAAGGAAAAAATTATAGGTTCTAGAATAATTTTAAAAGTTTAGTTGTAACATTATTTGTGGCCCATGAATGACTTAAGGGGCTTCCTTGAAAAACGGCTAAAATTGGGATAGAGGACCATAAGGATAAAGAACGGCTGGTTTTGTTGCGTTAAAAAGTGATAGGTAGGCCTGGCGCTGTAGCCTAGTGGCTAAAGTCCTCGCCTTGGATGCACGGGGATCCCATGTGGGCGCCGGTTCTAATCCCAGCAGCCCTGCTTCCCATCCAGCTCCCTGCTTGTGGCCTGGGAAAGCAGGTGAGGACGGCCCAAAGCCTTGGGGCCCTGCACCCACATGGGAGACCTGGAGGAGGATCTGGGCTCTGGGCTTCAGATTGGCACAGCACCGGCCGTTGCAGTCACTTGGGGAGTGAATCATCAGACGGAGGATCTTCCTCTCTCTCTCTCCTCATCTCTGTATATCTGACTTTGCAATAAAAATAAATAAATCTTTAAAAAAAAGTGATAGGCACATGAAAGCTTTCTGTTAAGTGGGAAAGTATTTCTCAGAGCTACTTCTATTTCTTCCTACCCAACCTCCTGAACAGTAAATAAGGGTATGAATGGCCCTAAGTTATTACTGGCCACTACTGGTAGCAATGTCAAGTAACTGAATTGGCAATTAGAATTTATATAAACGTTTTAAATTTGAGAATTTTGCTCTCAGTATCATGCTAGAAAAAGGAGCAAAGTCCTAACAACTTTTAATATTTTAACATTTTTCTTCTGAAAGATATTTTAGAGGCTTCCAAAAACAGTCACAATTTTGCTTTATGAACAAAATATTAGTTTTATGTTGTTGAATATATAATTCTTTGCTTACTCTTCTGGTTAGTTATGTTCTTCACTACAGGAGCAAAACAGTGCAGGAGTGGAGCGAGCTCTGTTTTCTTTGTATGGAAATTAATCTGGCTTATTTATTGTGAGACTTTCATCCCCTTCTTCTATAATTCATGGCATGTTTGCAATGTCATAAAATAAATGCTATGGTCTTCTCTGCAATCCGATAACCATTTTATATTTTCGTCCTTTTAATAAGCAAAAGACAAATTACTGGGACTGGCATGAAGACAACTCCCAGATGGTGCCAGTGCGCCACCTGTCTGCCAAGTACTAAGAATAGCCGTGCTGTAGACAATTCGATTACGTGGCATCTCGCGGGAACGAAGCATACAGCCACCACACAAACCATTACAAGTTCAACCAGGAGTTTCGTGGCTGGCAAAATAATTCTAAATATTTTAACAAACAGAGGCATATCTCCTCTTCCTAATGTGTCAAATTTTAAACAAATTTTCCTTTCCTGAAATCGCTCAATATTTTTAAATACTCGGTATAATAACTGATGCAGGGGAGAACCATCAACAGACTTTAAAACTACTAGATAAAGAGACCAGGGCAGTAGCACAACAAGCTAATTCTCCAGCTGTGGTGCTGGCATCCCATATGGGCACTGTTGCTGGTCCCAATCCAGACCCTTGCTGACAGCCTGGGAAACCATCAGAGGATGGTCCAAGGTGTTGGGCCCCTATTCCCACAAAGAACACCCAGATGAACCTACTGGTTCTCATGTTTAGACTCTAGAAAAGTCTGTGAGAAAAAGACCTGGACATGTCAAAAGGTCAATATCATAAAAAGAAAAAGTAAAAGGAGAGAGGACATTGTGGTGTTGGGGCTGAGGGTGTCCCCGTTCTATACGGAAGTGCCTGGTTCAAGTTCCGGCCTCTCCGTGCTGCCAAGTTAGCCTCCTGCTAAATGGCCTGTGAGGCAGCAGATGATGGCCCAAAAAGTACCCGGGTTCCTGCTCTCCATGAAAGACCCAGATGGAGTTTCTAGTTTCCGGCTTTCCCTGGCTACCCCCGCTGTTCCAGGCACTTGGTTAGTGAACTAGAAAATGGACACTTATCTCTCTCTCTTCATCACTGTCTTTCAAATAAATAAGTTTTCAACAATTTATTTATTTTTCTTGCAAAAGCAGATTTATAGAGGAAAGATAACACAGAGAAAGATCTTTGTCTGTTGGTTCACTCTCCAAATGGTTGCAACAGATGGAGCTGAGCCAATCTGAAGCCAGGACCCAAGGAGCTTCCCCTGGGTCTCCTAGGCAGGTGCAGGGTCCCAAGGCTTTGAGCTGTCCTCAACTGCTTTCCCAGGCCACAAGCAGGGAGCAGGATGGGAAGTGAAGCACCTGGGACATGAACCGGTACCCACATGGGATCTCAGGAGATGCAAGACAAGGATTTAGCCACTAGGTTATTGTGCCAGAACCATAGATAAATGTTTTTTCAGAAATTTAGAAAGGTAAAGCGAGCATTCTCTATCAAAAGAAGACTAAGCCTACAGGAGCACCAATTCCTATATGTGCTCCAAAAAGAAAAAGAAAGCCCATATTGCTCTAAATATTTTAGACAAACTCTTTGTGTCTGAGTATGTATGGTATATCTGACTCTAACAAATTCTACATGTCTAAAAGCAGTAAATATTATGCGGGTTTTATCCTGCAATATTCAGAGGTGTCAGAATGGTATCTGCAACTCACATTGAAGTAGCTGAGAAACATATATCTAACAAAAGGTCACAAGTGGCTAATCTAGAACAGCAGTGTAGTTAGACAACTTTTCAACAGATCTGAAATTTTTCAAGGTATAAAGTTGGGAGAAACACTGAAAGCTTAATTAACTGTATACCTCGTTTACCAAGTGACGATCCAGCAAACAAACAGCCAGTGGATGTCTCAGCAACAATGCTATGTAGATAGGAGTAAAAAAAAAATTATTATTATTTATGCTATAAATATGCTGAAATCGCATGCAAATACAGCCATGAGTGTTAAAGAGGCAGAATTAAATCCAGCCAACAAACTGGTAAAATGAAATTCTTCATCCATAGAGCAGAATGATTAATTCTCCATCCGCTTTAATTGCGCCATTAATATCTTTCAGTGACTGATTAGGAAAGTTCCATTAGACTCTTTTTCTTTTCCCTTTATTTCTTTTTTCTTATGTATTTTTTCTTGTTTTTCTTTTTTTTTTTAAATATTCCATTAGATTCTAATCCATTCACAGGTAAATAAAATTTGCTCACACATTTCTCCCAAGCTAACATCTCATCCACACTAGGTAGTACTATGTCACAGGAGGCACAAAGTACTATAAAGCATTTTATGATTATTTTACAATAAAAGGCCTGTATGCAAGACTTTGATTTTGTGAGATCAAAAAGTAAGCATTTGCTTTAAAACTGTCTATCAAAATTATGAATATGAGACTCTGGAATTTATTAATAGAGGAGGGAGGTGTTTGGTAGAGAAACTGAGATGCCACGTGGAATACACATATATACTCTCTATGCCCATAGATACTATAATATGATGTTTGGGTTTGAGTCCTGGTTCTACTTTCAATTCCAGCTCCCTGCTAATTCACAGCATGGGAGGTGCCATGGCTCAAGTATGTGGGTTTCCACCATTCACGTGCGAGGGAGGGGTTCCAGGCTCCTGCCTTCACTGTGGTCCAGGCCAGGCTGCTGTGGGCATCTGGTATGTGAACCAGTAGATGGTACATCTCTGTCTCTCTCTCCCTCTGCATTTCAAGCTATAAAAATAAATGAGTTTTTAAATTAATTAAATCTACAAAGGATACTTAATACTTTAAAAGCATCGATTAAAAATTTCTATAACACTTAAATTTGTTAACTCTAATTGGGTTAAAAGAATAGTTAAATTTCTTTTATAGATATCGATTTGTTTATTTGAAAGGCAGCTCTTCCATATGTTGGTTCACTCCTCAAATGGGGGCAACAGCTAGGGCTGGATCAAGAACAAGTCAGGAGCCAGGAGTGTACCCAGGTTTCCCACACAGGTGGCAGGCATCCAAGAACTTGACCATTTTCTGCTGCTTTTCCATGCGTATTATCAGGGATCTGAACAGAAGCTGAGCAGCCTGGGACTCAAACCAGCACTCTGATGTGCCATGTTGGTGTTTAGCACTGCAGGTGGCAGCTTTAGCGGCTGTTGTCACAATACTGGCCTCCTATATTCCCTTTTTAAAAGAGATCATTGCTGTATTTAACACTTACGAATGTGTTTCACATTTGTGATCTTAAAGAAACTGGAAATAAACCATAGGATCAGCCTCAGAGTCAAACTTCTGATGAACTTAAGCACTGAAGTTCACCAGATAAGTGACAGATCTTATCAATGCAGTAAGAAGCAAATTAACCTCAGAAAAATAGCTCATTATCTTGTTCTTTTTAGTAGGAATGTCCTTAGAAATAAGCCTTCTTAAAACTGTAAATTTGAACAAAGACATTACAAATCTTTAATTGAAATGGGATAATTATTTCAGGGCTCTTAACTAATGTTTATGAAAAGGAATGTTATCTCACATTATTCCACTTCCATTGCCAAAAGCTTGGTCTTTAGGTTCCTGAACTGGCTGGATGTTAACATACAGATCCCTGATCTCCTTTCTGATGCATCTCACTGCCGCCGCAGCCATGTCTTTTGCTACCTATTTCAGCAGGTCAGAAAAACAGAGCAAAACAAATGAATTACTTGGATAGTCATTTCAGGCCTTCAAAGACACACAAAACTAGAATTTTTATGTATACTATTTAGAAATTTGATTTCCAAAAAAAAAAAAAAAAAAATAGAAATTTGATTTCCAAAAGTAGACAGAGCATTGAATTTTACCAAAAAAAAATTAAATAATAATATTAAAAGTCTTAAAATAATTTAAAAGCTTAAATTACATGATATTTTTCATGGCATACATATTATTAGACAACTTACTTTAAATGGTAAAACACCAGCAACAAAAGCTCTTCCATATATCTTGGTCACAGAGCCACGGTCAGTTAAATTTATGGGATTCAACTGTTTAACAGGTGACATGCGAACAATGACTTCACCACCCCCTTTTGGGTAATAGCCCCTATGGAAAAGAGGACAAAAAATAACACTGTATTAAGAAAAATAAAATTAGTATTATAATGGAATAAAATATGAATGCTATCCAACCATGTAATTCACTAAGAGTTCTATTTCAGGTCTATGTGGTCTAATATGGCAGCTCTAAGATGTAACTATTAAAATCAAATAAAATTTAAAAATTTAAAAATCAGCTTATTGGATGCACTAGTCATATTCCAAGTGCTCAATTTTCACATTTGGATATGGTGACTGCCATAATGGACAGCATGCATAGGTAACATTTTCTTCAAATTAGCAAGTTCTACCAGACAGTGCTGTTCTAGAATCTATTTTAGTTCCTGATATTTTCCAGTACCTAAAACATATTTGCACTACTCCAGAGGTGCAGAGAGTCACAGTCACACAACAAATCACAGGTTTCATTACAAACAAACAACAACAAAAAAAACCCCACCTTGGATTTCTACTTTTTAAGACAGCAGAAGGATAACATGAAAACACGAAAGTCCAAACGCACAATGTATGTTTAAGGACTATCAAATCACACAGTTGGAAGATACGGTATGCTGAGAGGAAGGAAGAGATGAAGCGGGCAAGGCAAACTGCGGCAAGACAGCACGTACTCGCATGCCATCCACAGAAACCACGCCACGCTGTCGTGAGGCAGCAGGGGCGGCTCAAAGAGAAGTAACCCAAGTGCACTGAAGGAGGCTGGCTGCCAGCACCCAGCAGTCCCCAGCTTTGTCACTGGCTTAAAGGGACTGATGACTAAACAAGGATACGAGAAACAACAGATATGAAGCTGCCTTGGGGGGGAAATTCCTTTGAAAATATATTTTTTTGAAGAAACAAACAAGTATCATATATAGTTGCTTTCAAATCCTCATGCCCCTGTTGTTTATTGTTTTTCAAAAAACAAAGTACAATATTCTTAGAAGAAATACAAACGGTTTCCAGAATGACATTTTCATAAGTTCCAATTTTTCAAAGGACTAATAAGCAACTTACCTCATTTTAATGGCACAATTAAATGTGAAACCAAATTTTTCAGCAATTGGCTTGAAAACCTGAAAAATGAATTTATTGTTACTTTAACCATCATTACTTGTGATTAAACAAAAGTGTTTTATAATGTCCTAATAATTAGGCACTGAAAGCAAATACTAAAATGAAATATGTGAGTTAATTCCATTTTCAAACAAAAAAAAATCAATGCATTTAAAAACTCAACATGTAGTTCATTAGAGTTATAGTAAGTCTATATATATTAAAAAATTAAAACTCAGCACACTGCCATGGTTATATTATTTGTGAGGACAGTATTTCCTAACCCTTCTCAACATAACAATAATATTAAAAATCAGAGTATTGGTTAACTATCCTGCCTTCTCCATTTTTAATAAAATTGAAATCTCAAAGTACATATAATTTTATGATCCTTATTTTCCCAAATAACATTATAAACAAGCATTTTCTTGACAAAAACTCTTAATAATGCGTGAATAACTTGAATTAACCATTCCCCCAAGTTTTCATGATATAGAATGGCAATGATACTACAGCATTTAATGATTTGCTTAAATACCTTTACTACTGATCTTTTAGTACATTTGGTAATCCATAACTAGGGAAATTTCCTTGACACAGAATTACTAGATGAATAGAGAATAACTTTCATTAAATAAAGACCAAATTGAGTTTAAAAAGACAGTACCATTTATTAAAATGGCAATATTCCAGAGAAGGTGGGATCTAAGCCTGAGGTCTAAGGTAACTCTCAGATCTAGAACCTTGCTAATTTTTCAGGGTTACCTTCCATGTGTAAAAGAAGTGTGTTCACTTTTTTTTTTAAGTCAGAAGAAAATTTTTAAAAAAAAACTGAGATTATTAAATGTACAGTATGATGCAGAACAGCTAGAATTGTCATATGGTGATGATGAAAATGCAGAACGTTGATCCACTCTGGACGCTTGCTTCTCCTAATGTTAGCCATACACTTCGTTTCCTATAGATGGGCACTCTGAGAGGCAGGGGATGGCTGAAGCAAAAGGGGCTCTCTCACCCAGACAGAAAACCCAGGTGCAGTTCTAAACAAACACATTTTCAAAAATTAGAAAAAAAATTTTTTTAAGTGTTGGGAGTTTTTCTAAAGTGTAATTCCTGCATCCAAGAAATAACTGGTTCAGCACTATGGTGCAGTGGGTGAAAATTGCTGCCAGAAATGTTAGCATCCTGGCTGGAGTGCTAGTTCAAGCCCTAGATAGGCTGTGTCTGAGTTGTTTCCAGTTAATGTGTCTAAAAAGGCAGGAAAAGACAGCCCAAGTTTTTGGTTCCTTATTACCCACAAGCGAAACTTAGATGGAATTCTTGGCTCCTAGCTTTACCCTGGCCCAAGCCTTGCATGCTGCAGTCATTTGGGCAGTGAACCAGTATAAAGAAGATTTTTCTGTCTCCCTGCCTTACAAATAAATAACTAAACAAATCTGTTTTTAAAAATTTGTATTATTGGAAGAATCAAGATGGTGGAATAGGGTAAGGACATATTTAAACAGACAGAGAAATATTAGCGAGTGTGAAGCAGAGAGGGCACATTCCAGGAAACAGGAGAGGACAAAACAACAGCAGAGGGGTACCTGGAGACTGACAGACACAGGAAAGCAGCGGACACAACGGTGTGGTGTTGCAGTGACTGATACCCCCAGCATTCAGCAAATGGTGATCTGAACTCCACCAGCAACAAGATGGGAAGGGATTTTCACTGGGAGCCCCAGAGGTGAACCCAGACAAAGAACTATCCTGTTGTTCTGTTTGATTTGACAGGAGCAGAGAGAGTAGCAGGTCCCAGACAGGCAGTGTAAGGACAGAGTGGATTTCATAGCCCAGTCTGCCTCCCAGAGCCCAATTAGTTGCCATTTTGTTTAAGGAGGCAAGGCTATGGACCATTCTGAGCAAGCACTGAGCTAGGGATGAACTCATTTCTAACTTAGTGAACTGCAGCAATGTGGAATCCTACGGGTTCCACCCATGACAGATCCAGGTAGCCCTCAGACCTGATGGCCAGCAGATCAAAAACTCTAGCAGTGGCATGTCAGGAGCCATTTTGTATAGTATGGCAAAGAATTTAAGACTGCAGGGGACAATAGTGAGATGCACATGCACTAAGCTAGACGAGAACTCACTTAGCTCAATGGATTGCACTGATCCCCCAGGAAAATAATACCGACTTCGCATGGTACAGGTCAAAATAGGTCCTTGTGGCACCCAGACCTAACTGCCAACAGGTTCCTGCAAGATCACCACCAACAACTTAGCTACATAGGACACCTGGTGTCTCCCTAATCTTGGGACCTGCTCCAACTGGAAGTGGGAGAAAGGTTGTATAGAAAACGGTGCAACATCAGCACAGTATTACAGGAGGTAGAAACTGGTAAGGCAAGAGCTGGGACTACGGAAACACTGGTGGAAATCGAACATAAAAACCCAGACGTGTAACTCACTGGAGGGAAGGGAAAAACTGACTGACAACCAAGAGCCGTGTACCAAGTGCAATAAGTAAAATCGGACTGTAGAACTGTGGGTGACACAGCTTAGAAACCTGCCCCAAGAAAAACCTGACAACCAGAAGTACAGTGACCAAGAGCAGAAGAAGAAACAAAGGCACAATAAATATTACTGAAGACTCCTCTGCAAAGGAGCAAAATCCTTTGCCAACTTCAGAGTTAACTGAGGAAGACATCGAGAAAATAGGGGATACAGAATTCAAAACATTTCTTATAAAGCTTCTTATCAACAACAAGAAGCACATAAAGCAGGCATTCGAGGAATTTAAGGAATATGTAATACCAGAAATGAATCAAATGAAAGCTGATATATCAGAAATGAAGAATACGGTGGAGCAAATTAAAACTACAGTGGAGAGTATCCAAACTAGAATGAAGGAGGCAGAAGAAAGAATCTCAGAATTGGAAGATATTTCCTGTCACCAAGGGGAAACAAACAAAAAGCTGGAAGCAGAGCTGGATCAGGCCAAAACAAGTATTTAAGAATTGAAAGTCATTATTAAAAGACCAAATTTAAGGGTTATGGGAGTCCCAGAAGGTACAGAAAGCTGGGTTTACAAATGTATTTAATTAAATAATAAGGGAAAATTTCCCTAATCTGGAGAAAGGATTGGGAAACAACAACCAGGAGGGGCACAGAACTCCCAACAGGCTTGACCAAAAGCAATCTTCACCACAACACATGATAATCAAGCTTTCATCAATCGAACATAAGGAAAAGATCCTTAAATGTGCAAATGAAAAAAATCAACTGACCTACAAAGGAATGCCAATTAAACTCGAATGGAGTGACATATTCCAGATTCTAAAAGAAAACAATTGTCAGCCCAGGATAATGCACCCAGCAAAACTTTCTTTTATCTTTGAAAAGAAATAAAATTCTTCAAGAGTAAAGAAAAGTTCAAAGAATATGCCTCTTCCAAACCTGCCCTACAAAAGATACTTAAAGATGTTCTCTTGACAGAGAAGAGGAATAGTGCCTACCAAAACCAAAGGCAAATGTGAAGAACATCTCAGTAAAATAACAACAGAAGATTGAATCAATGAACAACCCATTGCTAAAATGACAGAACCAAATTACCTCCCATACATATTAACCCTGAATGTAAATGGCTTAAACTCATCAATAGAACATCATGGATTAGCAGACTGGATTAAAAAACAAAACCCATCTATTTCTTGCCTATAGGAGACATATCTCAGCAACAAAAATCAGTGTAAAATATATCACATGGATTTTGACTTTTTTTTGTCAGTTCCATCTCTTCAAAACACTTTGATTAAATTCTTCAATGACTCATAGATCATAGACAAACATCATTTTCTTCAAGAAGGTTCTTGATTTTCGTTTTCATTTCTTTAGCAACACATTAGTCATTCAATAGCATGTTATTTAACTTCATAGTGTTGCACATTTCTTTTTTTTTTTTCTTCCTGTTGTTGATTTTGTTTTGTGGTTTTTCATTTAAAGGGATGTATAGGAACTGTGTAATAGAGTTATCACATCCAGATGTGAGGATACAATGCAGTTGCATCTCTATGTCCAGACAAAGATGGACTCCAATGAAATTATTTACTATATCTTGACAATAGGATGTTAGGTTCTCTGCCATTGTCTATGCCCACAATGATGGACATATGACTGAAGAACTATTCTATAGCAATGATATAGGGAAAGTCAGTGAGGTGGGAGAGGAATTAGGGTAGGGATAAATCCCAGTGCCTATGGAACTGTATCATAAAATGATAATAATAAAAATAAATAAAAATTTTTTTTAAATGTTTGTATTATTGGACCCAGCACAATAGCCTAGTGACTAAAGTCCTCATCTTGAATGTGCTGGAATCCCAGATGGGCACCAGTTCATGTCCCAGTGGCCCCACTTTCCATCTAGCTGCCTGCCTGTGGCTTGGTAAAGTAATTGAGGATGGCCCAAAGCCTTGGGACCCTGCACCGGCATGGGAGACCCGGAAGAAGCTCCTGGCTCTTGGCTTCAGATTAGCTCAGATCAAGCCATTATAGCCATTTGGGGAGTGAATCCACCGGATGGAAGATCTTCCTCTCTGTCTCTCATCCTCCACTGTCTGACTTTCCAATAAAAATTTAAAAATCTTAAAAAATATATTCTATACCAACTGATACATAATTTATATAATTACATTTCAGGCTTTCTTTTTAAATCAACATTTATTTACTTGAAGATGTAGAACAATAAAAGAGAATCGTCCATCTGCTGATTCATTCCTCAAATGATCCCAGCCCCCAGGGCTGAGCCAGACCAAAGCCAGGGGCCAAGGACTCAGTTCTGGTCTCCAATCCACCAGACAGGGGTCATCTACTCTTGCTTTCCAGGGACATTAGCAGGAAGCCAGTTCAGGAGTCTAGTAGTCAGGTTCAAAGCAACACTCATAAGTGGAGCCTTCACCTACTGCACCACAACGCTGACCCCTACGAAGGAAATGTTTTAGAAAATTCACTATCATAACACAAAAACAAAATAAACTAGACATCATGCAGAAATAAACAGGAAGTAACACAAAAACATTCAAGGTATATTTAAAGAGAAAGAATGGATTTAGGAAAATATATAAGATCATCTTGTCAACAACAACAAAAGCCCTTACCATCATCGTGTAATCTATCTGTGGTGCCATTTCAGCATTAGTTCCCCCTTTCAGACGAAGTTCAGATGGAGAAGCAGCAAAGAGAACACAGGGCATTGAGACCTGCATCAAGAGGCACACACTCCTAAGGAGAAGGCAGAACAGGATGAACTGCACCTTATCCTTTTTAAAGCCTCAAGAAAGTCATAATATTATACATCACTATTAGCTGAAGCAAAGTAAACTGAGAAGTTAAAAAACACTTAAGTGTCTGGTGAAACTCAAAAGTAAGTATTGGTTTCAAGTGACAGGCAAAAATTGCTTTAAATTCAACACAAAATACATCACCTGCGTGATTCCGCGTAAGTTCTGACACTGTTCTTTATATGACAAAGAAGTAAAAAAATTAAAGATAAAACTTGTTCAAATGTCAAAGTATTTCTGAAAGTAGTAATTTATGGAAATGTGTTTTCAAAAATCAAGATCTAGAAATATTCAACTGATTATGTCACTACCATGCACAGCTCAATGTTCTGGTATCAATTTAAAATATAGTTTCTTACCATCTTCAAGTTCATGATATGACAGAGTAATATTTTATAGACTAACTGAAATATTTCACATGAAAACGTTTCAGGGAAATATTCTTGTTTCTATATATGTGGTCTTATAATCAAATAATGCAAGAAATCACTAGAAATGGTTATATTATTTGAAAAATTTTATGTGCTATTATTTCCCTCCTTCAAAGTCAAGGGAAAGCAATCATTTTCATAAATAGATTGTAACTTGAAAGGAAATTAACATGCCTTTACATACCAAAAGAGATACCTTTACCTAACTTTCACTTTTTAATCTGAAATGGTGATTGATTTATTTTTGTTGTTTGAAAAGTAAGGAGAGACAGATCCCTTCCATCTACTGGTTCACACCCCAACTGCCTCCAACAGAAAGGGCTGGGTCAAGTCAAGGCCAGGAGCCAGAAACTCAATGTAAGTCTTCTACACAGGTGCCAGGGACCCACAGGCTGGGCGAGCAACTGTTGCCTGTGAAGATATCCATCAGCAAAAAGCTCAAATTGGAAGCAGGCCCAGCACCAGAACACGCCAGAACATATCAGAACACGGTTGCTGCAATGTAAGCCGTGGGCAGCCTGCATTTCACCACTATTTCAAATGGCTGCCTCCTTAACTTCTTTTCTTTTTAAAGATGTATCTTCCATAGTTTTATCTGAGAAGCAGAGTTACATACAGAAGAGACAGAGAGAGAGCTCTTCCATGTACTGGTTTACTTCCCAAATGGCCACAACAGCAAGAGTTGTGCTGATTTGAAGCCTGGAGCTTCATCTGGATCTCCCAAGTGAGTACAGGGTCCCACGGACTTGACCCATTTACCTCTGCTTTATCAGGCTGTAAGCAGGGAGCTGAACTGGAACTGAAGCAACCAGAACAAGAACAGTGTCCACATGGGCTACCAGCACTGCAGGTAAAGGTTTACCTTAATATACCATAGTACTGGCCTCATTTCTAACTTTCTTACGACAAAGACACAATGCACTTCACTGAAAAGTCTGTTTTATTAATTCATTAATTTAGTTAATTATCAAATCCATTAATTAAATATATTTATTGGGGGCCAGCACCATGGCACAAAAAGCTGAGCATCAGAGTGCCCATTCAAGTCCAAACTGCTTCGCTTCTAATCCAGCTCCCTACAAATGGTAGAGAAAACAGTGGAGGAAGGTCAAAATCCTTGGCCTCCTGCACCTATATGAAACACCTGGAAGAAATTTTTTTTTAAATTGTTAAGTCAGCTATACAGAGGAGGGGAGACAGAGAGAAAGATCTTCCATCCATTGAGTCACTCCCCAAGTGGCCTTGGGGCTGAGCAATGGCTGCAGCTGAGCCAATCTGAAGCCAGGAACCAGAAGCCTCTTCCAAGTCTCCCACATGGGAGCAGGATCCCAAGGCACTGGACCATCCTTGACTGCTTTCTCAGGCCACAAGCAGGAAGCTGGATGGGAAGTGGGGCTACAGGGATACAAACCAGCACCCATATGGGAGGCTGGCGCGTGCAAGGCAAGGACTTCAGTCACTAGGCTACCATGTCAGGTCCCTGGAAGAAACTCTTAACTCTTGGCTCCTGGCTCCTGACTTTGGGCTGCTGCAGTTATATTTGCAGTGAATCAGTAGATGGAACACCATTCTGTCCCTCTCTCTCTCTGTAACATTGCCTTTCAAAAAAAAAAAACTTTAAGAGATACTTATTAGTTGTATTTGGTAATGGAAGATTAACATGTATCCAATTTAACTTCTATTCTCAAGGAGTTGAACCCCAGTAGCAAGTGATAAAAGCTTAGAAATACTCAGTTTACCACAGGTTTACAACTACTTGGTTTATTGCTTATTCCTTCTATATTGCAGTAACAGGAGTCACAAAAAATTGTTATAAAAAATGAACTAGTAGGGTCCAGTACCGTAGCCTAGCAGCTAAAGTCCTCGCCTTGTATGCACCGGAATCCCATATCCATGCCGGTTCTAATCCCGGTAGCTCCACTTCCCATCCAGTTCTCTGCCTGTGGCCCTGGAAAGCAGTCGAGGACAGCCCAATGCCTTGGGATCCTGCACTCATGTGGGAGACCTGGAGGAAGTTCCTGGCTCCTGGCTTCCGAATGGCACAGCCCCAGCCATTGAGATCACTTGGGAAATAAATCATCAGATGGAAGACCTTTCTCTTTTTTTCTCCTCCTCTCTGTGTATCTGCCTTTCCAAAAAAAAAAGGAAACTAAATCTTTAAAAAAATTCATCATTGTTCCAGGTCTTGTCAATGAAAAGAAGGGATGCTCAGAAAGATAAAGACCTAACTTATCTGTTAAATACCCAATTGCTGGGGCAGGTACCTGGCACAGTGCTTAAGATGCTTCTTAGAACATCCACATCCAGGCTCCACTTCTGACTCTAGTTTCTTGGCAACGTGCAGCCTAGGAAGCAGCAGGTGATGGCTGAAGAGCTTCGGTCCTTGTCACCCAACAGGAGACCCAGAATGAGCTCCGGATTCAATTTTAGCCCAGGTCGGCCCTGGCTACCTTGGACATTTGGGGAATGAATGAGCAAATGGAAGCTCTCTCTTTCAGGATAAGGGGAAGGGAGAATTCCCAAATGCAAAAAAAAAAAAAAAATCAGGATTATATCTAATTCTAAACAGGCTTATAAAAGTATCTACTAAAAGACAATAAAAATGTTTAGTTGCTTAAACAAAAAACAATAGAATATGGTTCATTGTTAGCTATAAACTAAAAACTGAATTTTCTATAATGCAAAGAATACAAAAAATGAAAATTCATTTTGATGAGTTATTCACTTCTAAGTAACAAAAAGTAAAGAAACAACTAAGCTACATCATGCTATACATACACATATAAGAATATTTCAGGTACAGTAATAGCCACAATTGAGCAATTAGGTCCCCCAAATTTGACATACATTGCCTCCAACCCTGAAAAGCAAGTGTCTTATCTGCCTTTTAAAAGTGGGAAAACAGGCCTGGCACAACAGTCAAGTCCTCGTCCTGCATATGCTGGGATCCCATATGGGCACTAGTTCGTGTCCTGGCCATTCTACTTCCCTTCCAGCTCCCTGCCTGTGGCCTGGGTAAAAGCAGTCGAAGATGGCCCAATCCCTTGGGACCCTGTGCCCACATAGGAGACCTAGAAGAAGCTCCTGGCTCTTGGCTTCAAATTGGCTCAGCTCTGGCCATTGTGGCCCTGTGGGGAGTGAATCAGCAGATGAGAGATCCTTCTCTGTGTCTCTGCTCCTCTCTGTAATTCTGACATTCCAATATAAATAAATAAATCTTTAAAGAAAAAAAAAATAAAAAGAGGGAAAAAAGTACAAAGAGGTTAAACACCTTGCCCAGAAGATGATAAAACTTGATTCTGAATCCAGGCCTAATTCCAACAGCAATACTTTAATGACATATGAGCGATACCTACCCTGCTGTCTTGGTATCTGCAGTATGGATGCCACCTTTGATCTTTTCGGGTGTAAAGCTTATTTCTGTTGAGCCGATTTCTGCCCCCTCCAGTTGTCCATCACACAAATCTCGAATCATTTCCAATCCAGATAAATGTTGAGGCCTTCAGGTCATAATACTGCATCAAAACGTGTGCATTCAGACTGCCTATATCCCCTCTTTTTATGACACACTTATAAAACCATAACAGCAAGCAAATAGCCGCAAGTTCTAACCACGTTCAGTGCCACATCGTCAGAGTCAAAGCTTCAAGGTTTTAAGGTTTAAACACCGAGACCATCTGCCAGTAGGTGTCATTCTAAAAACAAATTACTTTGTCTTCGAACACATGTACACACTGATGTACAGTTGTTACAAACCAGAACTGTACAAAGGAGAAAAACTAATAAAGGTATTTGAAAGCTGACAGTCCCACTTGCATTTCACTGAATGATCCATGGCACTTGCTATGGTGCAAGCTGTATTCTCTTTAAATTGTTATGTTGAAGCCGTAATTTCTAGTACTTCAAAATCTGAATGCATAAAGGTAATCCTAAAACTTTTCAGAAAATGGAATTAAGGTTAAGTTTATTTTGATGCCAAAAAAAGAAAAAAAAAGTTTGAAATCAATGCACATTAGGGGTATTGAAAAGCTTCTGGAAATGTACATTATGGAAAAACATATGCATGAATTTCAAAAAAATAAACTTGCTTTTAGTCCCATTTCCTATGACCACCACCAGGGGCATGTGGCACAGAGAAGAGACAGCGGTGTGGAAATCATTGTCCAAGCCAAGGATAAATGCCAGGACGGATCTCTTCCTTACCACTCCCTCTGAGGAAACTGCCAGCACCTTGATGTTGGACTGACAGCTTGGAGAACTATGAGAATATAAATCTTCACTCTTGAAGCAACCCAGTCTGGGGTGTCCTGCACACTAATGAATAGGATCCCTATATTGATGGACTGCATTGCGCTAACAACTGCGGTGACAGAGCAACTGCTGCTCACATGTATGAATATCAATTCCTTTAATCATTCCCAAAAACTGTGCCTAAGAGAATAACAGATAGCTCATCTATGAAGATAAAATATATACAGAACACACCAATGAATGAGTATGGCCTCAACCTGGGGCTCGTCCGCGCAGGTGCATAATACACCTGACACCCACCTACCTAGTGGCACATCCAGCTTCCCAGCAGGAAGAATCCAGAAGAGCAAGCACCATGGCACTTGCCTCTTCACAACAGACAACTCTGGTCGCTTCCAGGGAGCCATCCCATCTGGGGCTCCTTTCCTAGTCTTCCTTAATTCTGAACTGCAGCACAGCACGCGCTGGCTCCTAGGTGGATTTCCTCGGCTAGTCTAGGCGTCTGACTCCTGCTCTGAGTTGCCTCCCACACGCCCAGTGAGCAGAGGAAACGCTAGGAAAGTCACCTCTTTAGCCCACACAACCAGGCCAAGACCCACCTGCAGAGCCCTGCCTTCCCAGCCCCTCGCAGCTTGCACTGCTGCGACACCCCGCACCCCCAGCCCCTCGACCCTCCAACCCCGCACCCCCAGCCCCACGACCCTCTAACCCCGCACCCCCAGCCCCACAACCCTCTAACCCCGCACCCCCAGCCCCACGACCCTCCAACCCCGCACCCCCAGCCCCTCGACCCTCTAACCCCGCTCCCCCAGCCCCTCGACCCTGTAACCCCGCACCCCCAGCCCCTGGACCCTGTAACCTCGCACCCCCAGCCCCACGACCCTCCAACCCCGCACCCCAGCCCCTCAACCCTCCAACCCCGCAACCCCAGCCCCTCGACCCTGTAACCTCGCACCCCAGCCCCTCGACCCTCCAACCCCGCACCCCAGCCCCTCGATCCTCCACCTCGCACCCTAGCCCCTTGACCCTGTAACCTCGCACCCCAGCCCCTCGACCCTCCAACCCCGCACCCCAGCCCCTCGATCCTCCACCTCGCACCCTAGCCCCTTGACCCTCTAGCCTCGCACCCCCAGCCCCTCGACCCTGTAACCTCGCACCCCCAGCCTCTCGACCCTCCAACCCCGCGCCCCAACGTGCCCCGAGTTACCTCAGGCCCGGCGTGCTACGTCCCGCCCGGATCTTCTGCACGCGCAAAGGGAGGCCCAGGAGACAGCTCAGGGCCGTGGACACCCTGAGGATCTGGCCGCCCTGCAACCGGTGAGGCGTGGTGAAGCAGGGACTGAGAACTCGGCAGCCACAGCTCCGCCTCCCGCCGCCTCGCAGGTATCCCGGCCGCTGGCGGCGGCTCGGCACTCACCCCTTCCATGATGCCGCCGTCCACCTCCACCCGCTGCCCCTCCATGGCAGGCCACCTGACGCCCGGTCCGCAGCAGCAGCAGAGCCTCCTCCCGAGCCGGAGACACCGGAGAGACGGAACCGCAACCTTCAGCCTTCAAATCTCAGCTCACCCGCCGGGGAACCGGCACGGAGAAGGAAGGCGGAAGAAGCGCCACCTCCCCCGGAAACTGGATCAAGTTCCCGGGGCCGTGTGTCGTGTCCCCCCCCCCCCAGGCCGCCGGTGCGCATGCGCGGCCGGCCAGCCCAGGCCCGCAGCTGCAGAGATGGAGTGTCCGCTGCGGAGGAGCCCTGCACCACGGTCAGAGTTACGGTCCTGAGAGGCTTGAACTCAGCGCAGCGAAACTGCAGGGTGCGCAGAGTCCCCTTTCCACTCTAGCCTATCGAATTCTGAGAGCAGCAAAACTGCAGGGTACCCGAAGCTCCCTTTCCACTCTAGCCTAATCTTCCAGGAACTCGGCATAGCCGGAGCTGCAGATTCTCAGACCTGAAGGTGTGGGAAAAGCAGTGTACTGGGCATGTTCTCTGGGGTCGTCTAGTACAGTTTGCTTCGTCAACAGCTTGCGCCTGGAACTTTGTGTACCTGCTGCATTGACTGACAGCCGTGAGCCCTTCAGTCCCGCGGGTGTCAGACCATATATGTTTTCGGATGGGAAAGGGCAGCATCAGTAACGCTCTGAAAGCCAAGATTCCGCTACCTCGTGTGAGAGCAAGCACAACTTGCAATAAACACAGAAAGTAACAGGTACAAACAATGGATAAATTCTTAATTATGCTTTAATTGTCAAATATTATGGAAGCTTCTAGACAAGCAAAAAAGAACAAGGTTGATAACACCCCGAAGTTATTCCCGACATGGTGGAGAATCTGAGAAATAATCAATTACAGTGTCATCTACAGCTGTGTCTAGTATGTAGTTATCTTGCACCTGGTTCAGGGAATAGCAATTACGTGATGAAAATAGCCAAAGTTTACCGAGTGCTTAGATGCCACAGCACATAACATGCATTCACCACCTGGTTGAGTAGACACTGCTTTTACTGCTTACCATTCCCTATGTTAAACAATTTGCAGCTACGATGGTGCAGTTGTTATATAAAAGACTGAGACTAAGACTCGGTGGTCTTATGTGAGCATCGCTGTGTCCTTGTCTCAGTGTTCTGCTGCTTTTGTGACAGAGAACAAAAGACTGGCAAGGCACAGCCTATGAATGCTACTCAGCCCAGGACATCTGTAAAATGCCAGTCCAGGAAGTGCTCATATTTGCACTATAATAGCTTTGGCAATAGGAGGACTGGTGACAGAGAGACCTAAGAGCCTGAAGGAAGAAAGGCTGGTGATGCAACTGTCCAGGCAATTGATAAGGAAAAGTGGAAGCCAGGTAGTAGTAGTAGAGGAATGAAATATATAAGCTATATCTTAACTATCTGATGTCTGTATCTATCTGATACAGAAACTTAGCCTCCTTGGAAGAAGGCGTTTCCTGTTTATTTCTTTTTTTTTTCCCCAGGTACTAGTTTACTTATACCTGCATTTATTTTTTGTTGTTGTTTAATTTTTATTTTGAATTTTTGAATTTTATGGTACAATTTTGTATAGACCCAAACTCCCACTCCTCAACAGATTTTTCCCCACGTTACTACAATAGTATAGTCCTTCATAAGAACTCATAATCCCGTCAGTCTGTTATTTAAGTGTGCCCCAACATTTCTCTCTGGTAGATATCTAAAACGATACAGGAGGGTCATAATGAATCTTTTTTTTTTTTCAAAGTAAAAGAGTTGAGACTTCAGTTCTTTTGGGCTCCAGTGAAAGGATTAACTAGCAAATATGTGCTACATCTGATGCTCAAAAGAAAGAGGCAGAAACATATTATACTAATATCTAGATCAAAGTAAAAATATCAGAAAAGAAATAAGTAATCTAATTTTAAAAAAGTAATCTCAGAAGCTGAATCAATATATGCTTATCTGAGAACTGTGGGTACTCCCTGCCAGGCTGTACTCACTGACTGTGAACCTGAGAGCTGGGGCTGGGTGCAGGCCAGGCTGATTAGGGTGGCAGCACCGGTCTGCGTGTGTGAGGACCAGGTCTGGGGGTGGCTCAGGATGACCTAAGCCACAGCACCCACGGGCATGCCCCAGAGCTGGGTGGGATGTGGGCTGGGCTGGGGTCAGCCACAGCACATGCCGAAACACACAGAAAAACCAGGGCTGAGAGCAGGTCTGGTGGGGGTCACTAGGGGTTGCCCCGACTTGGCTGCAGCACCTACTGATATATGTGAGGACCAGGTATGTGGCAGTCTAGCTGCAGAATCCACCATTTCTCATGAGATATTACGCTGGGACAGAACTGACCAGGTAGCTGCATCCACCAGAATGTACATTGGCTGGCACAGGAGACAGACAGAGCCTGACCCTGTACTGACTGGTGCATAGCAGTGTCAAGACTGAGGCCACCCCAGGCAAGATTTCTTAGGGGACTCCCCAGTTAGACTACTGAGTTCAGACCCTAGCCACAAAAAAAAAAAAAAAAAAAAAAAAATCCACAAGAAGTGTGGTCCAACTTCAGAGTGCATTTGTTGGGTCTGGGCCTCAGTTGCTGATGTTTGTGCAGTAGACAGCATGCCCAGTTCCACATGGAGGACACAACAGTTATCTAGTCCAGCAGGGGTCGTAAATTACTTCATCAGAAGATGGAGAGCAGAACAGGTTGGACAATTCTCCTGGCCAAGCTTTTTAGCATATCCCTGGATCTATGGATGCGCTAAAGCAGACCTTGGTAATAATAGACCTTGGAAAGATTTTCTCAACTCCGGAGCAATGAATCCTAACAATTTCTTAGAACTATCAAAGCCACTCCAGTAACACCTTTAAACACACTTCCCCACATCAGGGTCTTTAGGACATCATCAAATGATAAACACCCCGGGTCTTAATGTGGTTTGATGGCAAGGAGTGATCCCCTTCCTTGAAGACACAGGAGAAAACAAGCAAACATTTGTCCTGCCCACCTTGCTCCAAGCTTAACCCTTCCCATTCTAATTAGAGGTCCCCCCTCTCAAGTACGTAAACAATACTACAAAAAATAAAAACAAGCAACCCAGCAACAACAAGATGTTAAACAACCTTGTTCATCTTTCACAGAAAAAAGTAGGAAACAAATTTCAGTAAAATCCCGAATCCTCCGTAGGAGTAAGAGCTGCAGCCAGGGGAAAGTGTTCTAATAAGGGCTGATGAGACAACTAGTGCTACAAAGTCTTGAAAACGCACAGCTGTGCGATCGAGGCAGTTACAGAATAACCTGAAAAGGGATGTTTTCCGCCTCACCCCTCAGGTCTCTTTTCCAAAAAGTAACTTTTTCTAAGTCAGTGCTGTTTGCACTGATCACTCTCGATCTCCTTCATTGCACGGACTTGCACGGTAGCATCGTGTTGCACTCCCCACCACTTTCCTGGTACCCCGACTGGCTCGCTCCGAGCCTGGCTCCCCACAGTGCTGGGCTTTAGCGCACACCTCACCTCCCCACTCCCGGATTGGCTGTTGGTGGGAGGCTCGTTTCTTCGCTCCGCATTGGCCGCTCCAGGGGAGGAGCTGTTCCTGTCTCTTTATTGGTTGCTCGGTGGAGGCGACTCTTTCAGCTGCGGAACCGAGGTCATTTCCGGGAAAAGATGGCTGCAGTGCGTTTGCTGAGGACCTGGAGCAGAAATGCCAGGCGGCTGGTAAGCGGGTTTGGACTGATCTGGGGCCAGGAAGGAGAGATTTGCCCATACTCATCCGAAAGTTTTGTGTTGCCTTTCTCTCATAGACAGGGTACTTGTGGATAGGCGGAGGTATGTTTGTTAAAAAAGAAAACGGGGCTACTAGAGAAAAGTGGGCAGTCCGTGGGTCTGAGCTCCACTGCCTTCCCTTACATTGCCGCGATTCGGTAGCCTTCCTGCGCTTTCCTCACCTGCAGACCTGTCTGGCCTTTGGTCTTCTAGCCTTTCACTGTGCACCTTCTAGGTGCCAGGCAGTTGTGATAAACGCTGGAATAGAGATGCAATTCATTCAGCATTTAATGAGAACCCACGGTGCGCCAAGCACTGGTCACGCAATCGTGACCTGAGGGAATTTACAGTCTAGAGGAAGAGGGCGGGCGGTCAAGCGAAGAATATCACCTGCGTCCGAGGAGCTTAAGATTCTCTCTTGGCTCTCTTGCTCCCCTGTACCATTCCAATCTTTTATCAGCAAAATTATGACCCACAGCCTTCTCCCTGTCAGTTCCCCCTCTTCAGTAATCTTTTAGCATCAAGCACAAACTCGCGCCAGTGAGAATACTGTTTCATCCTGTTTGCACCACGTTTTTTTTTCCGGTTCCCTGGTGGCTGGCTCCTGGTCTTTCAAGAGCTTGCTGTATAGCTGCGCTGTTTTCTAGACTATGGGGAAGCCTGTGGGAGTGAGACAGAGGCTAACTTTCCCTCCCAGTGATTACAGCTTTGTGGTGGACGAGGGCAGGGAGAGAGAAAAAGACATGGAGTAACTACAGTCCAGCTTGAGAAATGCAATGATGGGACAAGTGCATAGAGCCGCAGGAATACAAAGGAGTGGGCACTTGAGGAGGACCTGGGAGTCAGAGAGCAGGTTCCCAGCCAGTACTGTGTAACTTGAAATCGGTGAAGGGTAAATAGGAAATAACTGGAAGAGAGCTCTGCTTGGCCGCGCCTCACTGGGGGCTGGCGTCTCTTGAGGCTCTCCTTTCTTCACTTCTGTGGCACCAGCTTTCCAATATTATTCTTCCTGTGTTTTTGATCCCTTTGTCCTAATCTCTACTTTCGCTTCTCAACTGTTAAGTATAGTCATGTACCACATGACACTTCAATGATAAACCAAATTTGAGTAAATATTGGTAGTGCTATAAGATTATAATGGAGCTGAAAATTTTGTCTCTAATATTTTCACAGCATCTTGTCAATGTTTAAATACAGTTTTCCTCAATATTCAATATCATAATGTGCTATGCAAATGTGTAGCCTTGAATTTGTGTGATTTTACACAGTAAAATCACCTAATAAAACATTTCTCAGAAGTAAGCAATATAAGGTTATCGGTGTTTTTTTCCCCAAAGATTTATTTAT